TTATAATCAAATGTTAAAAGCACTTAGTTCACCTGGAAATGAAATTGCACTCAAAGCAATTATACTTTTTAACAGCTTTTGTGACGATTTTACTAAACTAACTACGTCAGTTTTGTATATCGCTATTTAAATTTCCAGGAGAACATTTAAATTACTACTGCTTGACATCAGGCTGTTTGAGGCCGATATCGTACCTGAAACCTCTGTTTAAAATCCCATAACTTCAACCACTAATCCACAAGAAATTCCATCAATTAATTAATGCGTGTTTTTATGTTGGATTTTACTTTAAAAGTAAACACTTAATTATAGCAACTGTTTCAGAGAATACAAATTATGGAAAAGTTATTAACATAAGTTTATGCAATTTATTTTTCTTAATAATCTTGTTTATTTTCCGATAATATTTTCAAAAAAATGATAAAAATGTTGTTTTTAATTGTAAGTTGCAGACAGACGAAGCATTTAGATTCAAACCATCTGCATTTAGATTCAAATCATATAAGAATGATCAAATCATATACTAACCGATTGTTAGTATAAAAGTAAATTATACTTATAAACTAATGCAAGGTGATATTTTATGTCAGTTTTATTGCTTTCGCTTCGAGAGTGTTGTGCGCGGTACTAAAAATTACAATAAAATACAAGAATTCTCAATAGTTTAACTCAAATTTTGAAACAAAAGACGACACACTTATATACACAGGTAGTGAAGTGGATGTCGTACATGAAGGACAGTCGCAGCAAAAGGGTTAGAAATCTAGAATATTTTTGCAAATGAATAGAGAATATCTGCAGCATCTTTTCTGATTAAAAACCTTCTGAAAAGTCACTGTTGAAAATCGATGGCTAAATGTGAGTAGCATTTTACTTTAAGACAAGTTCGCATAAACTTCCAGATTTGTGCAAATAATCGTCCACTTTCAAAATTACGGGGAAAAAAATCTGAAATTTTGAAACAACAATCAGTTATAATAACAATTTGGTTTAATGATTTTATAATTACAATTCTAGTGTTTATGATTCAAAATATCTTGTACAATAAACAATAAAATGAGCATATTGCATTGTCTGGCTAAAATATAAATTCTCCTTCAAAACCTTGATAACAACAATTTACATTTATTGACGAAAACCAGGTTCATACACCTAATAACATATAATAGTATATGTACATAATATATTGCAAAGCAACTTCGAAAGAATCTAATTCGCGGGACTATAACATTCAAGTGTTTGGGAAGTGCAGCTGCAATGATCTTTAATATATTCGTGATCGATCAACGACCTCTGGACCGCCAGAAAGAGCGACAAGCAGTTGGTCGCAGCGGACTGCATGCAGCGCTCCCTCTCCTAGGAATTGCATTCCACCCACAATCTACAATATGACCGCAACATATTCATATATTATCGATTCGTTTCTAACACGTTCTGGGTCGCGTTTTACCATACATCGAACGACACGATTTACGATACATTGAAATGAATATTAGGCTGCTTACACACATAATAGTCATGTTAATTTCAGTGAAAGAACAGTTTTATGATTGCCGATTACGTGATTATATTCAACAATTAACTATGAAGAGGACTTTCCAATTTTGAAATGGGTGCAGCTGTTTTTGCGAAGACGTTGACAAAAAAAATTATATCTCAAATGCAAATACTTGTTTCTATTTTTGGTGTCGAACAATTCAGAATGACTTGAAACGCCCAGAAAACATAAAATTAAGTAATCGGATTTCCTGATGAAAAAAAAATTTTGAGAAGTTGAACAAAGGTTCTAATGAAAAATGATATTGAAAAATATATATGAAACTGTTAATTTATCTAATATACGTAGGGTATTTGAGCAATTATGTTGCAAAACCAAACCAATTACATCACAACAAATAACAAATGTCAAACAAACAACAATCTGACTATGCTCGGAAAATCTTTCCGCTAATTCATTATTTTAAAAAGGTGTTTTATTTGCTGTTCTTCAAAAACTTGTCATTTGTTTTTCAACCTGTAAGTGAGGCAAGTGAGCCAGTGGGCACACAGATTTGACACAATAATAGCTGCATTATTAAACCAACGCAAAATATAAATTTCATGGGTACATTTTTTCACATAACACTGTATACAACCTTGATCTGGTATTTCGTCAGAAATATTTATCCACAAATTTAGAATAAATTTTTATTAAATTTATATCTTAAAAATGTATTTTTTAACTTGATTGACACCTTTACCTTTACAGGTTTTTAAGGCTTAGTTACACCCTTTTGCCCCATCCAGATGTGAGCTTTTACAGAGGTTATATAAAACTTAACGAAAAACTAACAATAAATTTTATAGAGCAATTAAACAAACTATACTAAAAGTTATACTAAGTTCTTGTAAAATAAACAAAAGCAAGAACGAGAGATAATATGTACTTTTGTTACAAATTTACAAACATTGCCATTTATCTTCTGATAGCAACGTCAAAAGAATCAAGGTGATGAATGATTATTAATTTTTTACTATCTACTTTTAAATATTGTTGTTAAAAAATTCTTAACTTTACTTGTTTTTGAAATATTGCTGATGAACAATTATAATCAAATGTTAAAAGCACTTAGTTCACCTGGAAATAAAATTGCACTCAAAGCAATTATACTTTTTAACAGCTTTTGTGACGATTTTACTAAACTAACTACGTCAGTTTTGTACATCGATATTTAAATTTCCAGGAAAACATTTGAGTTACTACTGCTTGACATCAGGCTGTCTGAGGCCGATATCGTACCTGAAACCTCTGTTTAAAATCCCATAACATCAACCACTAATCCACAAGAAATTCCATCAATTAATTAATGCGTGTTTTTATGTTGAATTTTACTTTAAAAGTAAACACTTAATTATAGCAAAAGTTTCAGAGAATACAAATTATGAAAAAGTTATTAGCATGAGTTTATGCAATTTATTTTTCTTAATAATCCTGTTTATTTTCCGCTAATATTTTCAAAAAAATGATAAAAATGTTGTTTCTAATTGTAAGTTGCAAAAAGGCAAAGCATTTAGATTCAAACCATCTGCATTTAGATTCAAATCATATAAGAATGATCAAATCATATACTAACCGATTGTTAGTATAAAAGTAAATTATATTTATAAACTAATGCAAGGTGATATTTTATGTCAGTTTTATTGCTTTCGCTACGAGAGTGTTGTGCGCAGTACTAAAAATTACAATAAAATACAAGAATTCTCAATAGTTTAACTTAAATTTTGAAAAAAAGACGACACACTCATATACACAGGTAGTGAAGTGGATGTCGTACATGAAGGACAGTCGCAGCAAAAGGGTTAGAAATCTAGAATATTTTTGCAAATGAATAGAGAAAATCTGCAGCATCTTTTCTGATTAAAAACCTTCTGAAAAGTCACTGTTAAAAATTGATTGAAAAATTGTTTTATAATTACAATTCTAGTGTTTATGATTCAAAATTTCTTGTACAATAAAACAATAAAATGAGCATATTGCATTGTCTGGCTAAAATATAAATTCTCCTTCAAAACAATTAAACAAACTATACTAAAAGTTCTTGTAAAATAAACAAAAGCAAGAACGAGAGATAATATGTACTTTTGTTACAAATTTACAAACATTGGCATTTATCTTCTGATAGCAACGACAAAAGAATCAAGGTGATGAATGATTATTAATTTTTTACTATCTACTTTCAAATATTGTTGTTAAAAAATTCTTAACTTTACTTGTTTTTGAAATATCGCTCTACCCTACTACTAAAAGCAACAATTATAAACTCAAGTTCCACCTAAATATAATCCCAAATTTATTAATAATAATAATACCAATAATAATAATATAGTGAATAAATTTGAATATTATACCAATTTCGGAAAAGAATATCTCCTTATAAATTCTTTCATTATATTTTTGACATTAATAAATAAATATATAGAATCCAAGATATAAGCCGGTCACAAATCTCCAATTGCATTGAAATTTGCGATAAATTCGATTTGGTTTAGAGACTAAAGTTTTATTTTCTTAAACAGGCACATGTACTTTTGCATGCAAAATCTTATAGTGTATAAAACGATCGTACGTCTCAATACACTGTTCTATAGTATCATGTACTATATGTAGAATGTCGTAAAATCCGAACGTGTGAATGCCATGTATAAGATTTTATGGATGTCATTATGTTATCGAAGTTGAATAGTTTTACAATATGTAATACAGGAATAAATAATATGGCAGTATATATAATTTATATATTTATAGAACTAGTCAATTGTTCTAGTTTACGCACCATATATGTTGTTCAATGCACTATTAGGTCTGTAAGTTAAATGGATGCAATATTTGTTTAACTGTACTATCTATATTATGTTTATGCGATGTGCAACAGTATTGTATTTGTAGATTTGAAAAATGAAATAAATGTCAAAACTAGTGATGCACACCAACCATCATAAGGCAAATTGTTGCAACTTCCCGTACCCATAATTTTTTTTTCAAAGCGATTGCGCTGCGTAGCTGCGTAACCCATAGAAATTTAAACAAAAGTACTTATTATTAAAATCCCTATAAAGTATTTAATAATTTAGCGTACCTGTGTTCATTTTTCTTATTATATCTCCGAAACCGAAATCTTGGAATTCTTTGAATCATTGAAAGCAAAAGCTCCGTTTTTTCAAAACTAAATTACTATTTTTTTGCACTTTTTTCCCGTACAAACACATACATTTAAAAGACCCTAAAACTTAGAGATATAAGAAAAAAATCATTTCTGATTTTCGTTAACCTACGGGAAGTTAATTATAATACATTTTAAACAGTTTTAAGTTTGTCACGCGGGTATATTAATTGGAGCTACAAGGTTTGGCGATTCCTCCAAAATATGACTACTTGTAAGATAAGCGGGAAAAAGTTTTGTTCATCAATAAATCGTTTTCTATTAAGTATATTTAGTTATAATGCATGTATTAAATTTTACCTTAAATATGAATGTGTCTTTGCTGATTATCTCTTGTACTTCAAAATAATCATCCCAATCTTGTTCGCTGCAAACAACGCATCTGTCCAGATACAGAGGCTCTCTGAGCAAAGTGTATCGGCCACATTTCTCCTTCACAAGCAGCAGCGATGCTTCTCTTATACCAGTGTGCCGCGGAAAAGTCGGTGATGTTGCCCCTGATGGAACAGGCGAACTCTCTAATCTATCCCCTCGATAATTTTGACTTGGCTATTGAGTGGTAAAAAATTAATATTATTGACGGTCTTCAATATTTGTACACGAAAATTAATCAAAGGGAAACCTGTATATCACCAATAAAGTAAAAAAATGTTAACAGTAAATATTATTATCATTTTTTATTAAAAACTATGTAGATAGTATTGCGTGTATTTTAGATTTTATTTTTAATTTTTTTCAATTCCAATTAATCGAGTAAAAACGCTCAATCAAATTGAACAATGTAGTAGGAAAACAACATGATAGAATACGGTGTATTTATGTCTGCTTATTTATTTAATTTAAATAATTTATATGTTAACACTTATCAATAGATTTTAACTATATGCTATTTTTGAAGGTATAAATTTTTATAAAATGTCAGGAAGATGATCAAATCTATCCACATTTATTTATTGTGTATATCAGGACAACGTGATTATGAAAACATTTGAATTTTCACCAAAATTAGCTGTTCTGCACTATTTCATTCGATGAATTAAATTGCAACTATGGTTATTTTAAGACATATTTAAAAGCAACAATTTCAGATTAATATATAGCGACAAAAATATTTTATGTTAAAATATATCAAGCAAATTAGTCTCACCTTTCCATTGGTTACTAATAAAGCATTTATGTGCGTCAACTTGATGGTTCTCCCTTTTCGCCAGTTATTATCCGTCGGTTGAGTGAACAGCAATTTTCCTTCCATAGCAAATCTGGCCTCGTCGTGATTCCATTCCAAGACATCAACCGCCATTTTCCTCAGCTTGATATTAATCATATCTATTTCAGAACTGCTGCGCCTAGATCCATTATTTGGTGTTGATATTCGACGCCAAAGTTTGGTCGGTATGTCTTTCGCTTCTGCATTCATGTGATTCAAATGCAATTCAATTTTTTGCTGGGCTTGCTTTAACATTTCCCTACTTTCTTGATGAGCTGGAGTCACTTTGTACAGGCGGGCTAATAGTAATGGGTATTTTGTTACACGTTGAACTGGTACCTTTATATCATAAAGAAAAAACACAAAATAAATAAAAACATAAAACTGGAATGAAACTTGAGAGCAACAAAAAACTGTACCAATGAAATAATAACTTACCATGAGGAATGAGTTCAAATTCATTCGCCTCAATACTGTGTTTTCCATTTGAGATACTCTCAAAAATATTCTCAGCAACTCCTTATCTTTTTCAAGATTGGCTAGAAGCAAACTCGCTGCACCTTGCCTTATACAATAACTCTCAAACGCGTGAAGCATAGGCGCAGCTTCAACAAATATTTTTCCAATGTCAACTGTTAACAGATCTTCATCACCTTGTTCTATAGCAATTTCTAGTGAATCTCGTAGCCTCTCTGCTAGTTCCCTGTTATTATCTAAAAGTTCTTCGGTATTTAAAAATATAGCTGTTAATTGCTCAGATGTTAGAAGTCCTGCCACTAGCATTGGTTGATAAAATTCTTCTAACATTATCTGCAAATCTCTACCATATTTTTCTTCAGTTTCAACAATTTCAGTTATTATTTCTTTTCTTTCGGCTCGTTTTTTACCACATTTTCTGCAAACTAATGGAGCAAACATAACTCCGGATTCGGTTACTTGAGTTTCTACAGGGCCATCACAATCTTCGCATAAATGTATCGGCGCTGTTTTATCTATAACAGATCCAGGAATAACATGATGGGTTTGCCACCTACTCCTCGATGATTTACTTGTTTCTGATCCGACACCTGAATCGTTTCGCTCTATTTCTGCAGAGGTTTTCCTTGAATGCAACTTATCACTAATAGCATTGGATGGTACATGACTTAACGTTATATCTTCACTAGAGTCACTTGTATTTGATAGTTGACTTACTCTGCTGCTTAACTCTGAACTCGATCTTTTATGATTAGATTTTTTTTCATCTTGTTCTTCTATTACTATATCACCAGAATTATTAAAATTGTAAGTGTAAGAATCTTCTTGTACAACACCTCGTTCTTTAGCGTCAACCAAATATGATAATATGTCATATTTTGATGCCCCCTCAAAAATAGATCTGCCTTGATATTTCTTTTCTATATCGTCATCTATGGTACATGGAGGTGGTGACAGGGGTAAAGGTGGGGGTAATTCACCAATTTCTTCATAAATTGGATCAGCATGAATCCTAATACTTTCGTAATGATGATCATCATCATTATTAGAAGATATTTCAATTTCAGATAGCGTTGCATCAACTAACATTTGATAGAACTTATTCCGTGCATTGCTATTTTCATCTTCTGCGGTCAATTCACTGGCGGAACTTTGATAGCAATCGGACAAACCGGCAGCATCATATTCTAAGCTCTCGTAAGCCGTCGAACTCATACTGTTTCTATTGCTGTCATTCATAGATGATATGCTGTTAAGTTCGTCCTCAGCATTATCTTGGCGTGTGGCATTTCTTTCACTTTGGAACGTCTGCAGCGTTGAATCTATTAACTTAGAAATATGTTTGTCATCACTGCCCACATCCTTATTGCTGTTATCTTGATTTTCTTTAAGTCTTATTAGCGAGTTTTCTATCAACTTTGTGACTAGTTCATTTTCTAATCCTTCCGCTAAATGGCCGAATACAGGATCCTCAAGCAGTTTACTAACAAAACTGCTCCGACCTAATGCCTCAATATTTTTCTCCGTAACATCTTCCGTTCGTGTTCGCCGAATCACATCTGTTTCTTCGATTTTTCCACAGACATGTGGGACAAGATTTCTTCTGGTAGCTTCAACGGGATCCTTCATCACATTATCAATATTATGTTCTTTTATCACATTATTATTATTTGAGCATGTATTTATAATTTGATTTTCATTAATGGATTTTTCGTTGTTACTTAGCGAATTGCTATTGTTTGCATTTATTTCTTCTCTGCGTTGTTTTTGTATTTCTGCAAATGTTACTTGTGAGCATATTGTTGACGATGGACCATAATCTAAGCTTACTAATGTAGATCCACATTTGGGACTAGACATTACAATTGGAGTTGATGCGTAAGCTGGCACTTCTCGTGTATTTGCATTCACAGGCACGACTGATCTTCCACTTTTATAGTTTGAGTTCTTATTGTTGAAATAAGTTGTATTGTGGTCGATAATTAAAGAAGAACCTACACTTATAGTTACGGTATTACCCGAAATGTTTGATATTCCAGGCTGATAGTCATTAACAACAACCGATGACTGATAAATAGGCATGTCGTCATTAACGTTAACAGTTGAGTAGCAATCATCGCCATTTATCATTATGGAAGTTTTCTTTTGACCCATAGTATGCAGATCATTCTCGTTAGTATCGTGTTTAACTTGTAGCCTGTGAACTTCTGAGGAGTTTAGAATATTCGGAGAAATTTGCACTGTGCTCTTGAGACCTTCGATGTCCATTTCTGTTTTCAAAACATCTACTTTAATGTTTTTGCTTGTTTTTCTAGGTGTTCTTGATGATTCGGTCGATGTAATCAAATGGATATCACTAGGAACATTTTGGGAGCTATCGTTGGTAGATAATTCTAATTCTTCTGATTTTTTTCGTACGAATGGGTATTTTTGTCTCGGAGGTAAATAAGGTTTTTCTGAGTCATAAAACTTTTGTACTATATTTTTCATACTATTGCTAACGTCACTTGTGACAATATTTAATTTATTTTCATTTTCCTGATTTCGAATAGATGGAAGGGTGGAAGTATCAGTTGGTGGAGGAGGAGGTGCAACTTTTGGTCTAGATTCAGCAGTCGTATCTTCTGAACCTTCGGAACAAGAAAATATCACTCGGGCATCTGATCTATTAGTTTTGATTCTCAGGGCGGTGGTATCTAAAAATAGTGGTGTACTGGCTGTTGATGTTTCTATTTGTCGTTCTTGGCGATCGCTCAGACTTCTACGCAATGTAGATGCTCTTGTTGAAAAATCTATAAAATTAAATTTATTACATTTCATTCAATATAAGGATATCTTAAAATATACAACTAAAAGAGGTAGTAACTTTTCTTAGATATCACAAAAAATACACGTATAGTTCATGAAGTAATAATATGAAATTAATAAACTTAATTTTACAGTTATAACATTAACCATTTAACATCAGTTAAAATAATTCTGCTAAAGAGATGTCTTTAGCTCAAAAATGTATTTTAACTTTGACTCGTTATCTCATACGATATATTGCAGAATGAGGTACAATATTTTTGTCACATCTTGAAACATCATCGATTTTTTTAAACTACAAAATAAAACAGTAATCATCATTGATGTACAAACAATAAAATCACAAAAAACATTCTACTATGAAAATGTAAAAAATTAATTTGTTTAATCCCACTAGTCTATTTTGATTTAGTTGGTTTTTATTGACTTATCAAACATGAACATTGAAAATAGTGTTGTTGAGTTTTCTAATATGAAGAATCTATTTAATTAACTTCCCGTAAGGCAGTTATAGTAATGGGGCGAAAATCGAACATGAAAATTTTTGCATATCTTTACGTTTTGGAGGTTTCTGAACATTTTGGCATGCCTCAGAAAAATGGATGTGTATATGTGTGTGTGTTTTGTAGGTCCGTATTTTTTCGTTCGCGTTTTCGGGCGCACGGATCAACCGATTTGAATGGTTTAAAAAACATTCGATTCCGATCGATAGGAAGATATGCTGATTAGATTTTAGCAAAGACAGGTCCAGCCACTACGGAGATGAAGAGCAAAGAGTACAGAAAATAGAAATCGAGTTTTTCAGAGAACGGAGCATGCGATTTAAATGATCTGATAAACATTCAATTTTGTAATGATTGGGAAAAGTGGTGATTAGTTTTTGGCAAAGTTCCAGTAATTTGCCTTAAGGCACGATGCCTTAATGATGGCGGCCATAAAACAAACGATCTAAACTATAATAATATATAAAATATAATTTATAAATTCGTTTCATGCTTGATAGAAAGTTCTGTTTTTTTCGAACACAATTAAAAATAGATTGCAATATATTGTTTGCCTTTATTGTCAGATTTTTTATTATTACAATTGATTTATTGGAAAATTAATCAATCTTTGATATGTGTAACAATTTTTGTGACTGCTAAACTGTATGAACAGTTATCTTGATTAATGCAAAAAGAATCACACCTAGGTTTATTTAAAACAAAACCTTACAATACAAAAATTATACAAAAACGTACAATACAAAAATATATACAGATTCAAGTAAAGAAGATTGAACAAAAAATATAGTTTGTAAGATATGAGCATATGTCAATTATGTTACAGATGGCATTATATCTTTTACTTGTAAAATAACTTGTATAATATTGAGGGATCCAAATTTATATTGCAAAAGGCATTATATATTTTGTCTGTTTTAATTATAGTTTGAATTTTCTTAAAATTAAAAAGAGAATTAATTATAAGAAGTATAATTGTTGTTTTTTATCGTTTTTACTTGCTCTTTGGGGCCTACAAGCCCCAAGTACGAGGTAAAATGCAACACCAAAATTTTTCTATAAATTGATTAATTGTGAAATAATAAACAACATATGTGGAAATTGTTGCAATTGTAGAAATATATGGAAATGATTGCAAAAACTTATAAACTGAATATCACGTACTATTGAACTATATTTATTAACATCCCGTAAAATAAGTTATAATAATCGCAAAAAATCGAAAATGAAAGTGTGTGTGTGTATGTATATTTGGATACAATTTTTCGTCCACGATTTCATCGATTCCTATAGATGAGTCCATAATTTCACAAATATTCGATGCCTATAGATGAGAAGACGTGCTGATTAGTTTTTGATGAAGACGGGTCAAGCCACTTTAAAGATATGGAGCAAAAAGTGCCAAAAACGAAAATTCAGTTTTTGATAGAACGGAGTAGCCGATTTGAATAATTCAAAAAACATTTCACTTGTATTGGCGAAGAATTGATACAATTTTTGGTAAGACAAGTCTAGCGGTTTCAGAAATACAAAGAAAGAAGTAAAAAAATGATACTTGGCGGTCAAAAATTATCATCCGACATATTCACATCAAATTATCAGATATTTGATAAATGAGTGAATTTTAAAAAAATTAGTTTTTTAACTTTCCGAAGAAGTTTATGTTTTCATCAAAAAATCCGATTCCCTATTTTATGTTTTCTCGACGTTTCAAGCCATTCTGAATCGAATAAGACCAAATTTGGAAAAAGTATGTGTGTGAACAGATTTTTTGCCGTAAATCGACGTTTTCAAAAACGGCTAGAGCGATTTCAAAAATTTAAAAGCCATTCGATGTATTGCGAAAAGGACTAGCGTTTATCAATTTTGCGCGACGACCAGCCAAGCCGATTCTTTGTGAATAGCAGAAAAGTGAAAAAAATTGTCCACGTTTTAGCCCGCAGTTCTAAATCGATTTTGAAAATTCAAAAACCGTTCGAGAGATATTAGCTGGGAATCGTACTGATTAGTTTTGGGTACAGATCGGCCGGGCCGTTTTCTTGTAATAAAGCGTTAAAAAATTGTTTTCGACGATTTGTTTTTGATGGTAGACACCATAGTCTAATAGATCATACTAAAATATTAAGGCCCTTCGACAACACGTTTAACTTTAAAAATTCGTCAAAGTTTGCAAAAATTAGTATCGTTTCTTTTGGCATTTGTCAAAATTAGAACTTTCATTGACGTTTGCTCAAAAACGCCTGAACCGATTTCAGAAATTTAAAAGCCATTATATGTATGTATTATATTGATGTATCTCGATGAGAATTTTTGTTTCTCAGTTTTGTGCGACGATGGGCCGAGCCATTTCTTTGTAATTTAGGAAAAAGTGTTAAACTTTTCGTCCACATTTAAGCTCATACTACCGAATCGTATAAAATGATACTGATTAGTTTCTGGTAAAAATCTACCGAGCCGTTTTCTTGTAATTCGTTGTTGAGAATAAAATTTGAGCCGATTTTTATGAAACTTTTTTGATGATATATATCATGGTCTTACACAACTTATTGAAATATTACAGCGGTACGACAAGTAGTTCAATTTTAAAAATTCCTTAAAGTTAAACGGTTTACTTGGTATAACAATAGAGTACTTTTTCTTAATGAACATACTAAACCATTAAAGTCCTACGGAAACTGGTTCAATTATAAAAATTATTGATTTTTGAACATTTGCTTTTAGAAAATACTTAGAGTTAACGTGTTCGTTCGCTTTCAATTATGTGTAATAAATTCACTCGGAATACTTTTAATCACCCATAAATTAATTTATTTTTTATTGATTAAGTCGATTAATTACATATATCAGTAAGTTCATGTAACTTGCCTTAAGGCAAAATACCAATACCAACTAGTTACAATTTTGTTGGGTTCCGCACTGAGATAGTTAATTTTTAAAGTTTACTTATACGGTTCAAGAAATATCAAAATTTAATGAACTTTTTTTCAAAATTTTTAAAAATAGTTTTATAATTCAAATATGAATTTTAAATTCACAATTCAATTTAAAAATGTATATATTCCAAATTATAATCATTCAAATTTCAAAGTTGTTCTAACCGTAAGAAATTTGTCTTCAGATGGATTTATTCGGCACCTCTTGCTAATGTAAACTGTTTTGAGCCATAAGATCGTTCCTGTATATTTTATGAACGATAAAATATATAGTGATTATAATAGTCTATTTGAAGATGTTTAAAACAATTGTTATTAATCATTGATCAATATTTACTGATTACTGTTTTTTTTCCTCGAATCTTTAATTCTGGTAGGGAAAGTTCCAGCAATTTTCCTTAAAGCACGACGCCATACACCACTGGTTTACTCACAAAGTCTAACTTACCTACTCAGTTAATTTTGATAGTTTAGTTTTGTTCAAGAATAGAGGTATCCTGCAATGTACCTAAAGAACTTCCCGAGACTTAAGTGATAATTTTTATTTTTTTATATTTTTGCTAACCGATAATATTATTATAGCAGTAGTATTAAATTAACTTCACGTAGAGTAAGTTATAGTAATCGCAAAAAAATCGAAAATGAATATTTTTATATATTTTCGGGTTTCAGACATTTCTGAATATTTTGGCCTACCGTAGACAAAATTGTTGTATCTGTGTGTGTGTTCGGATATAATTTTTCCTCGACTATTTCGGGAACCGATTTGAATGATTCATTAAACATTCGATTTCTATTGATAAGGAGACGTGCTGATTAGTTTTTGGACAAGGTGTTTCGAAGATACAGAACGAAGCGTCCGATTACAATAATTCAGAAAAGATTTTATTTTTATTGACAATATGAAGAACTGATTAAACTTTTGGGAAGGCAGGTCTAGCGGTATAGAAGATAAAGTAAATAAAATAAAAAGAATGCTATTTGTCGGTCAATATTATTCATTAGGCATAAACACATCAAATCATTAGATATTTTCTAGAGAATTTAATAATAAGTATAAATTTTATTTATACATTTTTCTCGGTTCCAAGCCATTGTTTATCCGTTAGACTACTTTGGGTATATATGATTTTAATAATATGAACAAAATAACTAAAAAAATTTTTTTCACTTTGCCAGCTCAGTATTGTGCTCGATTCAATATTGACCGCCGGCCAAAAAGAGAGGAATCGAAACTGAATAAAGAAAGACAGCAAAACACTGTTCACTAAAAGAACAGTGAGCAATAGAGAGGAACAGGAAATCTGTAAGTCGAAGATCATAACGGTCCTTTGCAAAACATGTTCATCATTCTCACAGCGATCTAGTGTCCGGTACCGGTACAGAACCTATGTACCGGTGTATTGCGTGAAATAACTGACCATAGCCTCTTGATTCATGACGAATTCGATTCGTCTTCAATTAATGGCACATGAGTATAATAATAGCGACGAAAGCATAATATCGTTTTACTAGACCCGATAAGATTTTTAATTTCCCGAAGTTTATGTTTTCGCCAAAAAATCCGATTTGCTAATTATATGTTTTGTCTACGTTTCAAGCCATTCTGAATCAAATAACATCAAATTTGAAAAAAGTATGTGTGTGTATGAGCTGACGTTTTTTCAAAAATAGCTGGACCGATTTTAAAAAATTAAAAGCCTTTCGATGTAACGCGATAAGAACTAGCGTTTGTTAGTTTAGCGCGACGATCAGCCAAGCTGTTCCTTTGTTAATTGCAGAAAAGTGAAAAGTGTTTTGTCTACGTTTGAAAGAGATTGGTTAGGATTGGGATTAATTGAACTGATTAATTTTTGGTAAAAATTTGACGGACCTTTTTCTTGTAATGAACTGTTGAAAACAACGACGATTTTTATCAAACTTTTTCTGGCGTTAAATATCATAGTCCTATAAAACATACTGAAATATTACGGCTGTCGTAGAGTCATTTAATTTAAAAAGTTCATCAAAGTGTCAAACAAATTGTGCCAGCACTTGCTTTTGTGATGTGATAAGTCAATAGGATAAGTCATTGGATCAAACTCATTAAGAAGAATTCGCAATTAGGTTTGCAAAAATTTTGAATAATAAGCTACAGGCACGTGTATGTGCACTATAATTAATATAATTACAGATAATTTAAATGTGTTTGCGAGAAATCAATTGGAAATCATAATGATTACATTAAATTTAAAGCAAACTTTACTTTTGAAATGAACAGTTAAAAATTTTATCGAAGTGCCCTAATCTCAATTTCGGTTGATTAAGTCAATTATTACACATTTCCAGAAGTTCATGCGACTTGTCTTAAGGCAAAATGCAACTTTAAACTATTCTATTTATGCATTGTTTCTGAGTTACCAAAAAATTATTAGATGATAAAAACGTAATAAAGATAATACAATAAAACAAAGTGTATGGGCGCCTTTCCATATAAAATCGGCCTCACCTTGGTATATGAACAATTCATACACCATTGATATAAGTTTTCAAAATTATTTTCAATTCTCTAACTCACGATTTGATCATTACTAAATTATGTATAACAAAATTAGTTGGTATTGGTATATTGCCTTGAGGCAAGTTTCGTGAACTTCCCGAATTGTTGGACTTTAATAATTAGTATATTTATTAAAACCAGGTACTTCATCATTATACCAAGTAAATCGTATAATTTTGATTTTAACATATGTCAAAATAACTACTCTAAAACTTTGATAATTTTTTAAAATTAAACTACTTGTCGTAAGGCCGTAATATTTCAGTAAGTTCTATAAGACCATGATATATATCGCCAAAAAAAAGTTCCATGAAAATCAGCTTAATTTTTTTTTGCAACAGTTAATTACAAGAAAATGGCTCGGTAAATTTTCACCTAAAACTAATCAGTAGGTATCATTCCCAACTAATATCTTTCGAACAGTTTTTGATTTTTTTAAATCGATTCGGTAGTATGAGCTTAAATGTGGACAAAAAGTTTAACACTTTTTTCCAAATTACAAAGAAACGGCTCGGCCGATCGTCGCACAAAACTGATAATACTCATCGAGGTACATCAAATGGCTTTTAAATTTCTGAAATCGGTTCAGGCATTCATGAGCAAACGTCGATGAATTTCTAATTTTGACAAATGCCAAAAGGACCATACTAATTTTTGCAAACTTTGACGAATTTTTAAAGTTAAACAAGTTGTCATAGGGCCGTAAAATTTTAGTATGGTCTAGAAGACTATGGTATCTACTGTCAAAAAAATAATAATAAAAATCGCCGAAAAAAATTGTTTTAACGCCTTATTACAAGAAAACGGCCCGGCCGATCTGTACCAAAAACTAATCAGCATGATTCCCGACCAATATCTTACGAACGGTTTTTGAATTTTCAAAATCGATTCAGAATTGCGGGCTAAAACGTAGACAATTTTTTTTCACTTTTCTGCGATTTATAAAGAAACGGCTTGGCCGATCGTTGCACAAAACTGTCAAATAATAGTCCTCATCACCATACATCGAATGGCTTTTGAATTTTTGAAATCGGTCCAGCCGTATTTGAGAAAACATCGATTTACGGCAAAAAATCTGTTCACACATACACATACTCTTTCCCAATTTGGTCTCATTCGATTCAGAAAGGCTTGAAACGTCGAGAAAACATAAAATTAGCGAATCGAATTTTTTGGTGAAAACATAAACTTCCACTTCGGGAAGTTAACAAGTGAGGGAATTAATTGAACTTAATATTTGCAACTGCTTATAAAAATATTCACGTATGAAACAAAAAGTATTTTTTGTACAAAACTTTAGATTATTAACGTTTTCTAACAACTTCAATTATAATTATTTGACACATTATTTTGTGACAATTATTTCTGATATTATATCTTAAGGCTTGCGACTTTGCGATTAACAGCAATACAATTCACTTGCCTGACATCAGCGCGACAGCATCCTCTTGGCAGGAACCCACAGCATCCAAATTTGATGCTTTGTCATCTTTTTCTTTATCAATGCTGATAGAGTTTATGTCCTCACTCTCTGTAACAACGTTGTCCGCAATTGCTGGTTCTTTTAATGTGCTTTCAGAAACAAGCGCCATATTATCTTCAGCATGCGTTTCATTTTCGACCGAAAACTGTACTTTCTTCCGAGATGTTTTCGAAACTGGTGCCGACTGAGGAGTTGGTAAGTAAAAGTGGGAAGAAGAACCTTTTCTTTCAGAGGGAGACTGTTTTGTTGCAATAGGCGATATATTATCATGATCAGATGCAACGCTTAATATTGGCGAACTTACGGTGCTTGAATCTGTATCCCCATATATACTTCCTTCTCGTGGTTTCTTCAATATCGATTTGATTGCTTGCTGTAATTCCTGTTCTGGAGAAATATTTTGCGACGCGTTCGATACTCTTTCTAATAAAGTCGTATCACATCGCTGCACAAGCAAGTTTTCTAATCGATCGAATGAATCAGTATCAGTCTCATCAGAACTATCAATTTTTAAGCGGCGTGGCGGACGTGTTGGCATCTGCCCTGTTATTTTTAATATTTTTTTGGCTTCTATATCTTCATTTGATTTCTTATTCACACTATAAGATTTACTTATATCTAAATTTGATTTAGTTTTTTTATTTCGCATTTCAACCTTTTCTCTATCTACCATAATATTTGTATCGGGTTCAATTAATGATCTAGTTCTCATATTACGAATACTACTTGAACAAGCTTTTCTATATCTCATTTCGCCGGTGACTTCATCGAAAACTTCATTTTGCAATGATTCATTTTCTGATTTATTCTCGTCAAGCAAATCATATGGATTCACATTACATTCTAATATAGATCTTCTCTCTATTGGTTCTTGTGGAACACTGAAGCAGTCTCTTGTTCGACTTGCACTTCTGCTGCGATCACGTTCTAAACTTTTTCGCTCTTCGGGGCGACCTCGAGAAGGTGACGTGCTTTTAGCTCTACTTCGTGAAGCAATTTCTTTTGCTTCTGGTGAGACCAACCTCGACCGCCTCATAAAATCATATGGATCAGATGGAGAATGAAGATTCAATATAGTAGGTCGTACCTTAACGACTGGTCTCTGAGTACCTCCTCGAATAGTTCCAGCCATAACCATATTTGGTGGAGGTGGAGCCCTCACGGTGCCACCTATTGGCAAGCGTGAACCTTTGCATTTTTTGCATGTTGATGGTTTTTTTAGCATTCGTTTTGTTCCGGTAAGATAATCCGGACATGAACAAACAAGCACAGCCAATTCAGGAAAAGCAGGAACGGGTGGAGGAACCGGAGCGCCTCTCACTGTTCCATACAACCATGTCTCCGCGTATTTCATGGAGCGTGAAAGGGCGCTCATACCTGTAACAGTTCCATATATGGGATCTGCGGATGATTTTCCAGAATCACCCTTTGTCAATTTTAGTCGCTGACCCCATGTCTTCTTTGATTTATTAGGAATATCCGCACCAGCTAAGTAGACAGTCTGAAAATTAAAACAAACACCTGGTTAAATATAAAAAATTACAATAAAAAATGATATATGTGTGTAGTTAAATTGCAAGAGTGATAAAACGAAAACACTGATACATAGAGACACTTACATTTAGAAGTGTATATAATTACGACCAAAATTTGGGTCATTGGATATGAATTATAATTAAACATATTCACTTTCCGATAACTTGGCATTATCGCTGACTTGTTTTGGCGCAGTTTTAAAAGTGAAACCGTGGGTTAATTTCTGTTTATCATATTATTGTATTGTGGCATTGTCCGCAGGCACCAACTGTTGGCAAAATCGCGTGCGCATTATAATCAGAAGCGTTGAAAGTTTATTCTTGCCATTGTTATTAATGGCAATGCGACGATTTGAACGCAGAGTAATAAACATCTATGAAGTAACATTATTTGAATTAATTAGTTGTTGACAATGAATAATTGAATAAAAAAGCTTTGTTAATGAAAACGTCGTATATAAAAAATTAATGAATTATGTGAACTAAATTAATAAATAAATTTCAGTGTAATTATTCATATTTAAATTAATTTAATATTATCTTACCTATTCATTACATTCATAATGTCAATATTTCAAAGAATTGTTTAATCTACAAAATTATATTTAGTTCTTTTTGATTTAATATTTAGTAATAATAATGAAAAAATACTTTGTTGATTGACACAAAAACTATTATATGTGTAACTAAGCTTGAAGAAATCTAAAAGTTGAAAATCCAGTTTAACACAAGTACGACGCAAAAATACTAACGGTAACTTTATTATAAGAATAGGTCTAATCTGCAAACACCCACTAACTCCGAACGTTTTGTACGTGAGAAGGAACATAACTTTTCTACATTCATAAGTACTTTGACAACATTTTTTTTGTACATGATAAATTTTCTCAAGACACACGGAACATTAAACCAGGCATGTAAATTAAATTATGTTAAAATTAAAAAATTGAATTATGATCAAGATTGACGATCTCGACGAGCCTAGTACTTTTACATCTTAAATTTTTTTATCAGAAAAAAAATTGCCAAACATTTACTTATTTACAATACTAACGCAACGTGGAGAAGTGAATGATAAATTATATGCAAAGATTAATTGTATCTAATTGATGAAAATGAAAAAAAAGTTTCCCAACATTTCATAAGCGACAATAAAGTAATACTAACAATAAATCATATCGCGGTAAAAAACATAAATGCTGTTGGTAGCAAACAACAATTAATATTCGTTTAAACGTTCGCCACCTAGTAATAAATAACTCCGGGTCAGTGATTGTAACAACTCTCTCTTATTCAAAATTGTTCCTACGTTATTTTTTAATTCTTGTAGAAAACAATCAGTTTCGCAACTCGGAAGAATGCATAATGGAACAATATTTTGCAATAATATATATTTCTCTCATAGCAATATGTGCATTATTGCTATATCTATCTTGTTCTATCGCCCATAATATTATATCTAGGTTTCAGACATTCGCTGAGTAGGTTTAGGTTCTTTGGTCTGAAAACGGCGCCACATCTTGCACAACATCTGCAACGCGCAATACGTAAACGAACTAAAGTTCAGAGCGCGGACTCTTGACACGCCACGCATGACAATGTTATATAATTTAATATGTTTTTGTTATTCGATTCTTAATATCATGTTGATTGATAATACTTGTGCAAGTCAAATTTAACAAACAAATTACGAAAATAGTCGGATGGAAAAGAAATATTAACACAATGACACAGTTTATTGACGATTTCATGCATGTTTTTTATTTTTGAAATAAATACCGAAATATTTACATAATGCGTATGGATTAAATGATAAACTAGTTGAAAGTGGCATTTTGCATGAAGGCAATTTGCATGAACTTCCCGAAATGTGTAAGAATTAACTTAATCAATCAAATTAAAAATAATTAGATACATATTTTTAACTGTTTATTTCAAAAACGAAGTCATCGTTTTCAATTAAATCTAAACATTGCGATTTCAAATAGCACTCATTCACACACGATTCAACACATTTAAATTGACTGTAATGTTTGACTTATCACATCACAAAAGCAACTTTTGACACAAATTTTGACTATGATATTTTCTCAAACGTTGATGAATTTTTAACATTAAATATTTGTCGTAGGGCCGTAACATTTTTGTATGTTTTATAAGACCATGATATCTATTGCTAAAAAAAAATCATAAGAATCGACAAAAAATCAGGTAGATTTTCACCTACAACTAATCAGTATCATTCCCAACCAATATTTTTCGAACAGTTTTTGATTTTTTAAAATCGATTCAGAATTGAGAGCTAAAACGTGGACGAAAAACTTTTCACTTCTTTGCTATTTACAGATGACAGCTCAGCCGATCGTTATACAAAACTATTTAAAGATAATCTACATCAAAATGCATCGATTGGCTTTTAAATTTCTGAAATCGGTTCAGGCATTTTTAAGCAAACTTCGAAGAAAGTTCTAATTTTGACAAACGCCAAACAAACAATACTAATTTTTGCAAACTTTTACGAATTTTTAAAATTAAACGACCAGTCTTAAGGCCGTATATTTTAGTATGATCTATAAGACAATGGTATCTACCATAAAAAACTCTTTATTACAAGAAAATGGTCCAGGCTATCTTTACCAAAAACTAATCAGGTCAATTCCCAACCAATATTTTTCGAACGGGTTTTGATTTTTTAAAATCTTTTTCACTTTTCTGCTATTTACAAAAAACGGCTTGGCTGATCATCGCGCAAAATTGATAAACGCTAGTCCTAATCGAGATACATCTGTGGAAAATAGTTATATATATATATATATATATATATATATATATAAAAAAGTATAAAATTCATTGGAACGATTTATTAATTACAAAATTTTATGAAATGAAAATGACAAGTTAATTTGTTTTTCCTCTATGTCCTGCTTGCTTGATTCCCCACACATTGAATAGCTTTTAAATTTTTGAAATTTGTCTATTTTGTTGAGAAAACGCCGATTTACGGCAAAAATCTGTTCACAAACACACGCACATACACCTTTTTTTCAAATTTGGCCTTATTCGACTCAGAATGGCTTGAAACGTCAAGAAACCGTAAAATTAGCGAATCGGAACTTTTTATGAATATATAAACTTCTCCTTCGGGAAGTTAATTATCGCAATAATATTTATATGATCCGCCTGAGCCATCAAATTGAATTGACATAAATATAAAAGTTTAATTGTAATTTTGATGTAAGTGGCTAATACATTAGACAGATGTATATTTGAAAGCTTGAGCTTTCATCTATAAGCTAATCTTAAGCTTCCATCTATAATTACAGATGGTAATCAATCAAACTAGATTAAATAAAAAGATAAATGTCTAATAACATTTATGCCCGTTATTAATTCAAATTATGCAGCCGTATGAAGCATAAATAATAGTAGGGTAGGGCGGAGCACAAATGTAAAATTTGACTTTCAAAATTTGACTTTAAATTTACTGTCTAAACCAAATGAACACATAACACCTATCAAACAACCAACCATGAAACAATGTGCAGTAAAGTTCTCAAGTAATTCCTAATTATAGCAATATATGTTTATAAAATAATTGAATAAGGTTTATCTATTTAAAAATTATATCAAAGTATCATAAACTCATAATGATATGATCATAAATGAAAAGAACTCAAAACCAAAAAACTACCAACTAAACAAAATACTTTTGTTATGAATATTGATACATGTTTGGTTAGAACTACGGAAATAGCTGGTTATACACTTTCGCCTTTTACTTTAAAATAGTATTGTTAAAAAATTCTATACTTCACTTGTTTTTGAAATATTGGTGGTGGACGTTTTTATCCAGACACCTTTGAGCCCCGCACTGCCCTAAATCTGTTGGTAGTATATATTTCATATAATTTTAGAAGTTTAATGTCACAAGAAATACACTTTTTCAAATTACGTGTAATTAGCTTCTAAATTGTACATGTTTGGCGACTTTGTGATTGTAGACATGTTTGTTGAATGTTCCTTGACCGCCTCATTAATTCTTATCAATCGTTATCATTTCCCTTGTTATTAAAAAATTGAGTGCAATGTTCATACTATATTGTCATTTGTTATGCCATGGATTAAAAGTACGGTTATATTATATTTAATTTTATATTTGAATCCATATCGTTTATTTGTTTAGTAAATAGTTTAATTGATTTAAACATTTTTATACTGAATGAAAACTATATAATTATTCCCGAAATAGATTTGAAATGAACTTAAATAAAATGGTTATAAAATATTGAAGATATTTACGTTACGCAATATACACATATATATATATATATAAATATATATATATATATATATATATATATATATATGTATGCACTCAGATTTTTAACACACACTTTATTTGGTAGTTACAGACGTTTCGAGACCATGGTATTCCTCATTTTCAGTGTAATTAAATCTTTAGTGTAATTACACTTATATATATATATATATATATATATATATATATATATATATATATACACTTATATATAACACGACAGACAATGTCCTGTAGTCACGTCTACTCCACTTCACGTCACGGAATTCGGTTCGAATCTCCAGCAATACCAGAATTAAAAATATAAAATATTAAAGTAGATTAAGAATTGTTAATTTGTAAAATTAACAAGAAAAAATTGTATTAGAAGTAAGAACGAAAAAAGAAGTTTAGTTTAGAAAATGAGAAAAACATATTGAGAAACAAGAAGAAGAATGAAAATTGAATGGAATTGAAGAAAAAAAATTGATTGGAGGAGTAGGATATAAGAAAAGATAGTATATATATGACGAATGTGTAAGAAATGTATATGTAAGAATTGTAAAAAATATGATAAAAAATAATATGAATAATGTAGATGGGTAAAAATGCAGTAAAGCGAAGGCCAATAAAATTAAAAAAAAAATAAAAAAAAAGTTGTATATCAAA